GATGAAGAAATTAAATAACCTGAAAAAAGAAAATAAATTATGGGAGGTTTAGGTAATTCGATTTAATTTTTAGTAGTTTTTTTATAGATTTTTTGTTTTTATTTAGCCTTAGGAATTGCTTCAAATTTAAGTTTAGATCCATTATGTCCTTCAAGGCTCTGTAGAACCATAATGTCTTATATTTGCAATATGTTTTCCCATTAAAGGAGTATAACCAATTAATGGCATCAATAACAAGGCTATTGTTACTATGATTTCTTAAAATATGGGCAAGAAAGTAAGACGTTTCTTTTTTAAAGATACGTGGACCTGGGTATGGTTAGACTTCTTCCAAAGATTTTCATTTGAGATAATATTTGGATAGAAGATTCCATTTATTATTCTAAGGCATTTATTTACAAACGTTTGTAATTTCCTAGTTTCGGTCTTGGTAATCTCCCATGTATCACCGCCATAAAAGAGAATCGGGATGATGGTTGAGTTGAAAATACAGAGTCTTGTGAAAACGGATATCTCTCTAGCTTTCCACAGTTTAAAAAATTTATAAAAAGCCGCCCTAGCATTTTGTAAACGAATTTTTAGTTCTTCTTTACAACTACCTTTATTGTCAATGGTTACACCTAGATATTTAAAAGAATCTACAACCTTAACCAACTTTCCCCCCACCACCAAATTATTCAGAAGAGGCGCCTGGGACGAGGGCATTATCACTGTTTTATCAAAGTTAATGTCCAAGCCAACCTTAAGACTAAAGGAGTTTAATATAGCGATCAAATTTTGGGTTTCTTCCAAACTTTTTGTTATCAAAACTATGTCGTCAGCATAAGATATCACCCTATTTTCCAAGAAAAAAGACTGACTGGAACTTAATTCTAAGAGATTCGCAGTAGCCAGCGTATCTACTATGATTTTATTCATAAGTATATTAAACAAAAGCGGGGAAAGAACACATCCTTGTTTTACCCCTTTTTTTGTCCTAAAAGATGGAGAAACCTTATTATAAATTTTTAAGGAGGCAAAAAGACTACTATAATGTGTTTTAAGGATCCTTATAATATTAGAGTCAATGCCATATTCGGTTAAAATCTTCCAAAGCTCATCATGGTTAACATTATCAAAAGCACGTTTAAAGTCGATAAAAATTTAAAATGAGTTTTCCGGTATCTTTCAGGAAATTAATAATTAGATCGATCTGTGGGTGTTAGGTAGTGTTAACCATCACCCAATATTATATTAATCATAACTATAATATAATATAATCTTATAACCAATAACTCATAATGTAAAATTTTTTATAAAAAATATTAAGGCCCGGCCCGGCCCGGGTTTAAAAATCTTAGGCACGGCCCGGCCCGGATATATTTAAAAAAAATTTTTTAGGCCCGGCCCGGCCCGGATAAAATTTTTTAGGTCCGGCCCGGCCCGGGTATATTTAAAAAATTTAAAATACGGCCCGGCCAGGGCCGGGCTTAGGGCCGGGCTTGCAGGTCTCTGATATATATAGTTATAATTAAATTTTTACATTTAATTCTAATTCAAAAATGTGCAGGCTCAAAGCGCCCACTTTTGAAACCTTGGTTTGTTGTGGTTCGATACTGGTAAACGGCAAAAAATTAAGATTTCTCCTTAATTTTAATACGTTAAGATGATACGAAAACGATCATGTTATGATTATGGAGATTATATATGTTAGATATTACCATACATTAATTAAGAAACAAATAATTTATAATAACCTCATTGCACGAAAATAATTGCAAAGATATGCAATTGTAAATAATTAAAACAGAGACCTGCAGTCCCGACCCTAATTTTAATTTTTTAAATATACCAGGGCCGGGCCTAAAATTTGTAAAAAAAATTTACGGGCCGGGCCAGGTCGGGTCGTATATTTTAAAATCAAATATTTGAATTCTTTAAAATGAAGTTTTTGTTTTGTTACTCTATTACACATTTCTTGATATCCCATAAGAATATCACAAAGTCAGCGATTATATTAGGAAATAAAAAAACAAATTTATTTTATTCTAAATAATATATATTAAAATAAAATAGTTTGTTTATCTCAATATTCTATTACACATTTCTTAGTATCACAAAGAATATCACAAAGGTTTTAGGAAATAAAAAAAAACAATTTATTTTATTTAAATAAAGTATTGTTTTTTTTTACTTACCTAATAAGCTGACTTAAAATAATATTTATTAAGTAAGATATAGTTTGTTTATCTCAATAGGTTATTAATTTTAAAAAAAGAAAAGATTTTTGTAAAAGCGGATATGATATATTCCATCAAAACTGACGTAAATTTATTCTTAAAAACCATATTGATTACCTGTATCATTTGCCACCTGACCGACAAAATCATCTGCGAATTGTACTCTAACAATCCAAGGGATCCCCTTAAGGTAACATATTATTTTTTTTACTGATTAATATTATTTTATCTATCCATTACCATTAATAAAGCTAAGCGAATTTCAACCGAATCGGTTTATTTAGGATAGGATTCTTCACAATCCGAAATTTTACAAAAAAAGTTGTCGGCTGCATTTAGATCGTGCTTAGAAACCAAAGGGAATCTTCTTTTTACGTTATCTGTCAATCGGGACGAAATGACTCGGTCTGAATGAAGTCGACTCATTTAAAAAAAAATTTTTTTTAAGGATTATTTATGAAGCGATAGAAAAATTCGGATTTGTTTGGAGGCCTTTTTATTATTAACTTGGTTTAAGATGGAATTTATTTTAGCTATTTTTGAATATGCTAAATTTCTCGATTTAAAATCACTTACCGCGGGTGATTTAAAATCCTTCAAAATCTGATTTTACCCGGATACGTTCCAGCATGTATAACGTTAGTTTTGTTAAATGGCTCGATTTTTAAAAACTGCTAACCCAATGTTTTAGCCAAAAATAAAAAATTTACGCAGACATGGAGAATTTTTGCTCATAGATGACAGAATGGTTTGAAAATCTGTTAAAGAAATCTCGAGACTTTTTTAAAATATTAATTTAAAACCGGGCTAAATGAATTTCAGATAATTTTCGCCATAAACTTTTGCATATTTAAAAAAAAAAAAATCATATGAAAAATATTCGTATAAAAAAAAATTAACTATAAAATAAGTATAAGTTTCTTATAGTTCACGGTAAAATTGTTTAAAATTTGAAGTGTGGGTATACTCTATACATGATGAAATGTATTTCCGGTCAAATCAAATTTTTTAAATTTAAAAATTCGCTCTCAGTAAATGATATAAAAATGGCGAGATTTCGAATCCTCTTGGAGTCAATATTCCAATATGACATATATAAGAGACGCGTATAAGTAAAAATTATAGGCCCAGCTTGGATTTGGGGACGGAATTTAGTTTTCGGTTCATTCTTAAATTTTGTTAAACTAATACAATGTATAATCTCCTTTGTATGATGTTAAACGACTTAGCTCAGTCGCGACTCAAGTCGAGATCAAACAAATTGAGTTTAATCCGAATAGTCGACTGATTTTTAAGGCTCGAGTCGTGAATAAATTGCGATTCAAGTTCACGACTCGGAAATTTGATCTTCTTGAAGTGAAATTAATAATTATTGAATATTTTTTAAATTGTCATTTTAAATCCTTTGTTATTGTTGGCTATCTAGATAAATATCTAATTTTTTAAAATAATTATGTTATATATTATACCAATTTTTACACAGTTTTGAATGTTGAAAAACACCTCTCTACATACTTTATAACAAAAATGCTATTTATTAAATTTCAAAATATATAGAAAACTAGCCTCATACATAAAACTATAGTAAAATAACATGTAAAAAAATCAAATAAACAATTTAAAACAAGACACATATAAAAACTTAATAAAAAACATAATAAGAGGGATCCCAAATTAGATGTTTACTTTTAAACCAAGTAATGTTTGTTAGCCCATATAGTCTTACCCATCATATAGTGGGGGATAAGTGAAAAAATTATTTCAAATATAATTAAAAAAAATTTTTATTATCATAATTCTTACAATTATATAATGTGAAGCAAACTCGAATTAAGAAAATAAAGAACGGATACTTAATAATTATTTAATGAATAAAATTTTTGATATTATTTTTCAGAACATTACAAAACATTTTTGGGAAACGTTCTTGGAATCACAGTGATTTTTTTTTAGTTCCGGTGTTTAAAAATTTTTTTTAAGGTTCAGCCCTTATACTTCGGGTTTTGGTCCCACCCTGTGTGTCTCTGCAAAATAAATCACGTTAAAATATACAGCTATGATGTCCCTCAAACGATTTAACATTTTACGTTGCTTACAAAATAGCGGTTGCTATAAAAGAGCTTATTCACGATTCGGTCTCATTAAGCTCAGGGAAAATCCACCAAGCCCAGAATTTTGAGTCTGATACAAGCAATCGGGTTTGCCCAGTCTATTCAAATTTGGGTTGATTTTCTCTACTAGTACTTATGTCTAGGTCGATTTATACCACTTGCCCTAATCTCGGTCGGTTTTTATCATGCTCCGATTTTGGTCAATTTCTATGATTCGTGATTAGATCTGTCAAAATTTGTCCCTCTAAACCCGACCCGAGTTTCTGCTAAGTCATATTTTTGAACATTTTAATAGCCTGTAAATATAATGCTAGAATCCCATTTACCATTTTGGAACTTATGATTTATATATCAAAATCTTATAATCTCGTTTATATTTTAATTAGTATTTATATTTAAGACTCTTCTATAAATTAGTTATCTTTATAAAACCATCTATATTTAAACGTATTACTTTATTCACAGTATTACTGGTACAGCTACATTGCGTATATAATTATTAATGATCCGTATATGTAATGTTTCTAACCATTATACATCGGAATGTTATATCATATTAAAAAATACAATAATTTATTTTTAAAATAATGTTTATAACAATACTAACGATTTATTACACTTCTACTATTTACCCTAGAAATCTATATATCCTTCCGGTACGCCGTGGCCTATGCCAAAAAATATAAAATTTGAACCCATTTCTCTATCGTTAAATCCTGAAACGTTGGTCATAACTTCTGATTTGCAATGTGATATCCTCGAAAAAGCTTTCGAAAGGTATATAAATATATTTTATTTTTCAGATAAACTTATACTAGAAATGAATACCATCTAATATTTGCATTATTCGTATTTTCGAATCTGAATAATTGGATTTAATAACAACTTATTTGATTTGATTCGTTGAACACTCCATTCGAAAATTATATTCTTCAAAATTATTTTTAAAAAAGTGATTTATAAATGTGGAAAAGACATAAATTAATAAAAAGGTCTCCAAGGAACATGTTAAATAATTAAGAGTAATTTCAAATATTTATGAATAATTTTGAATTTTTATGCATAATTTTGACTATATATATTTACAAATTAAACCTGAAACATTTAATAATTTAGAACAATATGAATTATATTTGATAATAAAAAAAAATTATTTGACAGATATTATATTTTCCTTATCCGTAATCAATTCGAAATTTTTATTCTTATTCGTAATACTAGTCGAATATCGGATAACAAATAATTCGTTTTAGTTATAGATAAACTAAAATAAGAATAATTGAGGAATCAGTTTTATGAATATGTTAGCGGCATTGTGTTTTTTCCGGCGATGTGTTATTTTTTCAACTTTAAATCATTTTTTGAGCGCATTTTTTTTAAATTTAAAATTTATCTGAAATGTATTCCAGCATGTTTGGAAAACCTACCCTATGAATTTCAGACAATTTTGCGATGAACATTTGAACTTAATATAATTTGTATTAGTTTTTCTCTAGATTTTATAAATTATGAATAGCAAAATTATTCACAAGATAGCTATTCTAAACATGCTGGAATATATTTCCGGTAAATCAGATTTTTAAATTTTATAAAGTGCTAAAAAAATTATTTAAAGTTGAAAAAATAATAAATTGCCGGAAAAAACACATTGCCGCTTACATATATATATATTTAATTTTAATAATGGCCCAGATACGCGAATATAATGTTTTCGGACGAAAATTATCACATTGATCCAGAATTACCACAAATCGCTAAACTAAATCTAATCATTCGATCTAAAATCTGTGAATCCTATCCTCCACCAAACATGGATGAAGCTTGTAAGTTTCTTTGTGTAATAAATTTACTTGCATTTAATTTAAAACGTCAATTTTTTTTGACAGATAATAATAGTCCTTCATTAATATAAAAACATATATAATACATATTTTTAATATATATATAATATCGTTTTCCCTTATCTTTTTAGACGAATTATATTTTAAAAAATATTTCTATGACCCGAAACGCAACGATATGCAAAGCCCCGATCTCAACACTATACAAAATCAAATATATCGTGACAGGGAAGAAACCCTTTCCGACATTAGCATTTATGATGTGTACGAAGCCCGCATCATTTCTCAAACGATTTGGGGTGCTTTGAGGGGTAAAATATTAATATATATTTATAAATATGATTACCTCTTTTTTGGGGTCAAAGTAGTATTATATTATAGCGAAGGATGTTGCTTGGTTGTATCTTTGAAATATGAGATATTTAATTTAATTTGCGTATATTCAGTGTGGTGGGAACTAGAGCCTGACAAAATCGAAAATTTTAGGCCCTGATCCAACCGAAACCCGGTGTTAGGCCCAGTTTTTTGCAGCCCGCGTTCCGAATTTAAGAAAAATATTTACCATTTTCTTTTTAAAAACTTTTCCAATTTTTTTTTAAAAATACCGACTCTGTAGGATTCTAGTGGGAACTAAAACACTTATTTTAATGATTTCGTTTAAAAAATATATAATAAAAGGTCTAGAAACATTTAGTCAAATGATAACGTACACCAACAACAATACGGTAATGAAATAAGGATAAGTGAATATGAATAATTTTAATTATATTATATATGTATATAAGTAACAATATTATGATAACCAACAACAATACGGTAATGAAATAAGTTGATAAGTGAATATCAATAATTTATATTATATATATATCTATATAAGTCACAATATTATGATAAATTTAAGATAGTTTAAAAATTAGATAATTGGATATTACACATCATGAGTGTAAATTTTATTTGTTAAATTAAATTTAAAAAAAACAGGTTATGTTTATGCTTTTTCTATCTGAATTTTTGATTTTTTACAACCTTATAATTAGTTATGTTAGCTACCCGGCATTCAGTTTGCGCAAATTCGCGGCGAAGTATACAAAATTAACTTTATTTTTGTATTATTTGCCCCAAGTTCGTGTGGTATCTGAATGAAGGGTTAGTTAAATCGAGCCAAATGGTCCGATTTATTTTGAGGATTTGATATTAAAAATTAAAGGCCCAATTAACTCTAATAATGATTATTAATATTTTTTTGTGGGCTTTGATATATAGTAACTATTCTAAGATGAAGTGGGTTGTTAGGGAAGGAGATTGTCAAAGGTCATAGTCATATTGGGAGTCAAACTCTGAACTATCCAACTTGATAATAGATATTTTGGCGAATGCATGTCAGCTTGTGCACTAAATCAATATCCCAATTTCAGTTATGTAAATGCATATTTTCACGAATAGTATATACGCGATAATGCATTCACAATAACGTTTTCACGGTAACACAATCTCTTAATATATTCGCGAAAATGCATTCACAGTATTAATTTTGCATATATATGATAATGCATTCTCGTTTGTAATGTACTGATGATGTTTATTACCAATATTTTTTAACTGATTTGATACGTAATCACCTTGAATATTTGTCAGTTTTATTAAACTCGTATTACGACAACCAAGGTTGTAAACCCGTATCGGGTTCAGGAATTTTAAACTATTTAGGGGAAATTTTGATAAAAGGAATCATCAAAACCTTCGAAAAGTGGTCTAAACTCACCCCAGGTCCATATTACCCTGGGTTTGGTGGGTTGCCTGTTAATCGGTCTCTCTGTCTGTAATTTAAAAATGAGCGATCATACAATTTAAAATTTCTGAACTCGAATTTGGGTTCAAAATTCTGACGACAACAATATCATATTCATTATCGATTAATAATATTGCATATTTTTCACTTACCTAACAAACTTCACAGTACGTAATAAACAAGCAAACAATATACGATAACCCGCGGTTTAAACATAGAGGACTATTGGTAGACACTGCTCGAAATTTTATATCAGTACCCATCCTGAAGAAAATATTAGTAATCTCTAATATATAATCTCCATAATCAAAACTTAATGCTTTCGTATCATTTAAACTACTTAAATTATATAGCATAATGATAATTTTTGCTCATCTACCAATATCGGACCCGAAATCCCCGTTTCAAAAGTGAACGCTCTATTGGTGGGCTATTGAGATTTGATATTTTGTATAAAATTTATTGCTTTTGCCTTTTTTCTATCAATAGTGCAATACTTGATGTAATTTTTACATTACATTATGGATGCATGGCTCAGGTAATATCTTTGTTATTAAATTCAAAACAGGCTTGAAAATTTTATGAATATAATAGCCAAACCAATTTTATAAAAATGAATATATTTTTGATTAAATTTTATTAATTTACTATACAAAATTAAATTTTAATTTTTGTTATAATTCATATTGCTATTAACCAAATTAAATGTTTCATTCTTTAATTATTTACACATTCACTTTGGGTTTAATTAAGTATTATATTTAAAAAATAGTTGATAAGGATGAAAAATTTAACTATTAAATATTAGAATATTTTTTTTAATAATGAAAATTCTGTTCTGCAAAAGTTACATTTATTCAAGGTATGCCAAGCCAAATAAGTGTTGGATGGATTAATTTGTATAATTTATTACCGCTCATGTTTCTCAATCATATAATAACTATCAATTTTTGTAATTTACTTTTTCCATTCCTCTTTTATTTTTCTATCCAAAAATAATGACGTCAATTCATTTGTTATTGTCAGGCTTAGATGGATTATTTTTATCGCAGTGAACAAATAACTTTTTTTAAAAAAACTCTATAATGAAGAGCTTTAAAATGCTGGGATATATATATGTTGTATTTGAAATAAATTTGGGGATTAATTAAGAATTTTACAAACTCTAGATTTCGCTATTGCATTCTCATAAATATGTATAAATTTTAGGACGGTATGAGTTATAACAAAATGAACGTATTTCATTGGCACATAGTTGACGATCAAGCTTTTCCTTATGAATCAATCACTTTTCCAGAATTATCAAAAAAAGTTAAACGAAATTAAATATTTCTACTTTTGTTCATAATAATAAAAATTTTAATTGATTATAATCTTTATATAGTAATCAATAAATTTTTTAAGGAGTTTATTAACCTGACCCTAAGCAGAGATATATATTATTTAAGCTTACTAAAACAAAGTTTGATTGTGCTCATTGGTCAACTAACTCAAATAGAAAATAGTTTAGGCAGGCAGGGCACACCACTCTGCGATAAAAATTTATAATTATGTATACAATATTTCTTATATATTGAAAATAGGGTGCATATACCCCAGAACACATCTATAAACAAAATGATGTTGCAGATATCATAGAATACGCTCGATTTCGAGGAATAAGGGTTATACCGGAGTTTGACACTCCTGGCCATACATTTTCATGGGGGAAATCTCATCCAGGTTATTAACAATTATATTTTGGTAAAAGATATATTACGAATTGGAAATAAAGCTTTTTTTTGAAAAAATTTGAAAATAATGGATCTTTTATAATTTAAAATATTTTTTTTTGAAAATATTTAAATCCGATCCTTGAAGTTGGCCTCAAATTGCGCGATTTTTAAAAAGTTGCGGGATAATATATCCCAACACCTTGAATTTGGTAATTTTTTAAATACTTAACATAATGTTTTGTAAGAGTTTGATAACGAACTAAATCTCCTTTAATTTGAGGCGACTATAAAAGAAAATTTGGAGTTATCGCTGGTTAGCCAATTGTAAAAATAAATAAAAAATTTATGTTAAGAAATTATGACCTCATGTTATGGAGATGGGAGAAATCCTAATACACCTCGTTTGCCTCATCATCGTTCTAGAGAGAATTTAGACCCCTTATCTCCTATTACTTACAACTTTATAGAACGTTTGTTTAAAGAAATATTTCGCATATTTCCTGACCCGTATTTCCATGCTGGAATGGATGAGGCATATCCCGCTTGTTGGTAAAACTTTATTTTGAATTTCAATTCACATCGATAATCATATTGTAAAAAATATAAATTTTTTTAAGAGGATGTCAGTTTTATATTTTTAACTAATTATTAAATAGGCTTTCAAACCCTTACATTAATAACCTAACGTCCAATACTTATTCTGACCCTTACAAAATCGCTTTCGATATTTATATCAATCGTACGGTAAATATCATCAATAAATATCACAAAAACATCATTGTTTGGGAGGACCCGGTCGAAGATAAAATAATTGTATAAAATTTTTAAATATTTTTTATATCGTCTATTTTATTTTTGTAAAAAAGATACTTTTAAAATTCAATTAAAGGGGCAAAGATGTGAACTTGCAAATAGAGGAATTTAAAATTGTTTGGTTTGGACATATTAAGACACAGACCAAGCAGCGACCGATTTATGAACAACCGTTATAACCCAGGGTAGGTTCAGACCCCTTTAGGAAAATAGGTCTCGGTTAAGTTTCTGCTATCAAAATTTCCGTTAGAGTTTAAAATTCCTGAACCCTTCAATTTACATCTCTCCAGTGGCGTAGCTAGGAATTTTTCTTAGATGGGGTCCATACATATAAAAGCCTGGGGGGTTCGGCCCTTTTTCCCGGCCCTCGGCCGGGTTAATCATACAAATTATAACCATATCTTCTATAATATATACATTTTTTAAATGTATCAATAATATGTTATTATAATTTAGTAGATTATTCAATGACTTTATAATAATACTATCCAGAATAATTTCAATAGTAATATAATATCTTTTCACAAACATCAAAACTAGAAAAATATAAATATTAATGGCATTTATTTAATATAAAGTCACTTTTAAGTCTTTTGAACGTATAATCTGAAAAAAGATTTAGCTCTGGGAGGGGACCAAACCCGAAAACCACCCCCGTAGCTACGCCACTGCATCTCTCCATCCTTTAAGATTTTTTTTGTTCGGCTGAATAAATTTTTGAAAATCCGATCAAAAGCACCCCACTTAAAATAAGGCATGATTTGACTAAAATTATGTTGCAAGAGCGGAAATATCATAAGTTAGTTAGTTTTCCCCCGCATCATTTCATTTTAGACTATTTTATCTTATGTAAATAATTTATAACTCCCCAAGGTAGACTTAGAACGTTATATCTTAAAATAGTTGTTTACGAAAATAAAATTGGGTTTAGACATTTAAGCCAATTAATGAATACAAATAAAAAATTGCTCAATCATAATAAACACTTTTTAACAAAATATTTTTATTTATGAATATAAAATGTTGACTAAGCAAAGCTCTCACAAAATTAGTTTATATTTTAATAGTTAGGCCATGTCCTGGTTTGACTTAATTCCGAAACTTATTTTATTTTGAATTAGGAGGTCCTATTTTGGTGTTTTAATAAAATGTTTACATTAAATAGATATATTACTTTAGAAAAAGAATCGCAAAGATACTGTAAATCTCTATTTAAATGAAGCTAGACCACTAAACAGCCTGTTTAGAAATAAGACGAACCAGGACACCGCCTTTGAAATTATATTTGTTTTTTTAAAAAAAGGTTTTCATTAATTAATATATATTATACCAAATTGTTAACGATTTTTTTCAAAAATGAACAAACAGAACTTTACTAAATATTAAATGCTATTAATATTTTTTCAAACAGCCTATTTAGAAATAAGACGCACCAGGCCACAGCCTTTGAAATTATATGCTTGATATAGATTTTTTTAAAATCTAAGTTATACTCGCGAATAATCATTTTATATTGAATCGTTTAAATTTTACCAAAACATTTACACTAATAGTACATAGGCTCGGTGGCGTCAAGAGAAAGGGAGTTGATATTTTTAGAAATACTTGTTTTAGACATTTTGAAAATATTAGCTAAAAATAAGAAGGGTTGTGGATCCGAATTGGTAGTGTTGTTAAAAAGTCGAGTTCACCCGACTCCGACTCAGAGTCTGAAGTCATTAGTCGTGAACTCGAGTCGTGAACTCAAGTCGACTCAAGTCGTGAACTCAAGTCGACTCAAGTCGTGAACTCAAGTCGTGAACTCAAGTCGTGAACTCAAGTCGACTCAAGTCGTGAACTCAAGTCGACTCAAGTCGTGAACTCAAGTCGACTCAAGTCGTGAACTCAAGTCGACTCAGGTCGTGAACTCAAGCCGACTCAAGTCGTGAACTCCAGTCAACTCGAGTCATGCACTCAAGTCGATTTGAGTCGAGAACATGAGTTTTCCATTTGAGTAGTAAACTTAAGTCGACTAGAGGACGAATATTTCGAATAGGTATATCGTTCGTTATTTTTAAAATTTTGTGAAATTTTTTAAAGCAAATGGGTAAAATATATATTATAAACATGTTAAATTAAAATTTCAATGGAGATCTACCATAGATAAGTGACAATTATCATTTTTAATTTTTTATTCAATTTTTTTGAACTTGCTGGGTAAAATAATAAATTGTAAACATGTTAAATTAAAATTTCAGTGAATATGTACCATAGATAAGTGACATATCTAATTCTCAACTCCCTTTTGAAATTATTTTAATATATATATTTTGAAATTATCACATTACTCATATCCATTATTTTTAAATTAGGTTAATATGATCTTGTTGGTAGTGTTGTTAAAACGCCGCGAGTCGCGACCCCGACCCAAAGCTCGGGTCGTTTTATTCGACTCCGACTCAATGTTTGGGTCGTTTTTTTCGACTTCGACCCAAAATATGGGTCGTTTTTTTCGACTCCGACCCAAGTCCAAGCCGAAAAAAACGACCTCGACCCAAAATATAGGTCGTTTTTTACGACTCCGACTAAATATTTGGGTCGTCTTTTTCGACTTCGACCCAAAATATGGGTCGTTTTTTACGACTCCGACTAAAAATTTGGGTCGATTTTTTCGACTTCGACCCAAAATATGGGTCGTTTTTTACGACTCAAACTTGAAGTTTGGGTCGTATTTTTCGACTCAAACTTGAAGTTTGGGTCATATTTTTCGACTCAAACTTGAAGTTTGGGTCGTATTTTTCGACTCAAACTTGAAGTTTGGGTTGTATTTTTCGACTCCAACTCAAAGTTTGGGTCGTTTTTCTGACTCAGACTCAAACATCGGGTCGTTTTATTCAATCCGACCCAAAATATGGATCTTTTTTTTTAAAGTCGACTAAAAGTTAGGGTTACTTTTTTTCACCCTTAACCCAATATCTAGATCATTTTTTTTGACCAAAAGTCAAATAACATTTAGTATATATTAATATTATAGGCGGGAAAGTTACTTAAAGCTTCTTTAAATTATAATACTCTGGATTAACTATTCATCATAGTTATTTTTTAAAATTTTTAAGTGAAAATGCACCATAGAAAAGAGCCATTTGTTATGATGGTTATTTTTGAACTTTTTTAAATGAAATAGATAAAAATATATATTGTAGACATGTTAAATCAAAATTTCAGTGAAGATGTACCATAGATAAGTGACAATTGTCATAATCGCCATTTTTGAGCCTTTTTAAAGGAAATAGCTAAAAATATATATTCTAAACATGTTAAATTAAAAATTCAGTGAGGATGTATCATAGATAGGTGACAATTGTCATAATCGCTATTTTTGAACTTTTTCAATTTTTTTAAAGGAAATAGCTAAAATTATATATTCAAAATGTTAAATTAAAAATTCAATGAGGATGTATCATAGATAGGTGACAATTGTCATAATCGTTATTTTTGAACTTTTTTCAATTTTTTTAAAGGAAATAGCTAAAAATATGTATTCTAAACATGTTAAATTAAAAATTCAGTGAGGATGTATCATAGATAGGTGACAATTGTCATAATCGCTATTTTTGAAATTTTTTTAAAGGAAATAGCTAAAAATATATATTCTAAACATGTTAAATTAAAAATTCAGTGAGGATGTATCATAGGTAGGTGACAATTGCCATAATCGTTATTTTTGAACTTTTTTCAATTTTTTTAAAGGAAATAGCTAAAAATATATATTCTAAACATGTTAAATTAAAAATTCAGTGAGGAAGTATCATGGTGACAATTGTCATAATCGCTATTTTTGAACTTTTTCAAATTTTTTTAAAGGAAATAGCTAAAAATATATATTCTAAACATGTTAAATTAAAAATTCAGTGAGGATGTATCATATATAGGTGACAATTGTCATAATCGTTATTTTTGAATTTTTTTCAATTATTTTAAAGGAAATAGCTAAAAATATATCCTAAACATGTTAAATTAAAAATTCAGAGAGGAAGTATCATATATAGGTGACAATTGTCATAATCGCTATTTTTGAACTTTTTCAAATTTTTTTAAAGGAAATAGCTAAAAATATATATTCTAAACATGTTAAATTAAAAATTCAGTGAGGATGTATCATATATAGGTGACAATTGTCATAATCGTTATTTTTGAATTTTTTTCAATTATTTTAAAGGAAATAGCTAAAAATATATCCTAAACATGTTAAATTAAAAATTCAGTGAGGATGTATCATAGATAGGTGACAATTGTCATAATTGTTATTTTTGAATTTTTTCAATTTTTTTAAAGGAAATAGCTAAAAATATATATTCTAAACATGTTAAATTAAAAATTCAGTGAGGAAGTATCATGGTGACAATTGTCATAATCGCTATTTTTGAACTTTTTCAAATTTTTTTAAAGGAAATAGCTAAAAATATATATTCTAAACATGTTAAATTAAAAATTCAGTGAGGATGTATCATATATAGGTGACAATTGTCATAATCGTTATTTTTGAATTTTTTTCAATTATTTTAAAGGAAATAGCTAAAAATATATCCTAAACATGTTAAATTAAAAATTCAGTGAGGAAGTATCATATATAGGTGACAATTGTCATAATCGCTATTTTTGAACTTTTTCAAATTTTTTTAAAGGAAATAGCTAAAAATATATATTCTAAACATGTTAAATTAAAAATTCAGTGAGGATGTATCATATATAGGTGACAATTGTCATAATCGTTATTTTTGAATTTTTTTCAATTATTTTAAAGGAAATAGCTAAAAATATATCCTAAACATGTTAAATTAAAAGATCAGTGAGGATGTATCATAGATAAGGGACAAAAAATGGTTATTATATATACGAGTAGTAAGGTACATAATAATTTTTAAGTGATAAAATGAGATGCTAATATATTT